TATAATAATAATTTTAACATTTAATCATTTTTATTTTTAATTCCTGACGCGCTGTGCACAAAAAGCCTCTATAGAAAAACATATATATCTCACTATCGAAAAAGACTATATTCTTAAATCAAGAATATATTCTTAAATAAANAATATATTCTTAATTTCAGAAGAATATCATCTAAAATCTTTAAGAAGATTTTTTAAGTATAAAATCTTCTACTTACAAGAATATAATTTTTTTTCGGTGTGCCTGCTACGCGTCGCTCTCGGCAGCGTTGTATTATTACTTCAAATAATTGTTGTAGATCTTGATGATACTTTCGACGTCAGATGTCTGTGCATGATTTAAAAAAACAATATTCACGCGAGCATTTCGACGCAAGCAAACTGCGCAACATTCTGAAGTAAAACAGGACTAAGATCTACACCGAAAAAATTATATTCTCGTAAGTAGATTTTATACTTAAAAAATCTTCTTAAAGATTTTTAGATGATATTCTTCTGAAATTAAGAATATATTCTTTATTTAAGAAAATATTCTTAATTTAAGAATATAGTATTTTTCGACAGTGAGATATATATGTTTTTCTATAGAGGCTTTTTATATTCTAATCAGTATATATTCTTATCAATATTACTATTTAGAGGATTTTCCTCTTAAAATAAGAAACTCTTCTTGGCGCCTATTTTAGTATAAAATATACTTAAAGTAAGTGGGATATCCTCAAAACAAGAATACAATTTTTTCGGTGTACAAACAATATTTCTAAGAAAACTTACGGACGCTCATGTACGGACTTTGACAAGTTGCAATGAAAATGGTTGAAAAGACTATTGAGAAAATAAATCTCGCGCTTAAACGTAAAAACCGCAGTGATGACGGATAATAAATACACCTCCTTTATTCTTTTTCTATAATCTCGCTACTTAAACAGTGTCCTACGTTTTTCAACTCGATGCGATGCATTATCGAGTTAGCAGATAGTACACGACGCGCTTTAGCGAGAGGTGAAGTAACGGAATCCTGATAAAGAGACTCTAATCGTGATCCAATTTCGAGCGTCCGAGACTTACTGCGTTTCGGGCGGCGGCGGCTACAACGACGACGCCGACGCCGACGCCGACGCCGACGCCGTTCCTCGTTACAGTCTCTCGGTTGATCCTACATAAAAGATCGAGGAGCGTCCGTTGCGGTTCTTCTATCTCTTTAATGAAAAGTTGATCGTCTCCGAGACTAAAAGTCAGTGACGCAGCAGCATTACGTCCGTACTGACGCAACGATGACGTTTCTGTCCGGCTCGGTTTTACGATCGACCTCCGATAATAAAGGCGCGAGCTTTCTGCGAGTTTACGCGACGATGGCACAGTCAAATGCAGGCAAAATGCCGAATGACTATGCAGGACCCCATTAATATGTATAAGCGCGCGAGAGACGCGACACTTTGCAGAATGTAAACGCCGCCTCTATACACACACATATAGTCGCGCTCTCAAGAGCCCGGCGGTGGTGCCGATGGTCGCGAAACATTATGAACGCACCGACGATTGGAAAGTGAACAATATCGGAAGCATTCCGCGGATTCGAATCGTCGAATTATCAACCGGCACGAGTCTCGGGACAAGACTGCGGCAAATACCATTGTGTGTGATACACATCGATATATGTATCAAAGTTCACCGTGTGAATATGAATTGCCACGGATATCCCGAGTCGAAATTTTGATGCTACTTTCAAACTTTTGAAGATACTCTTTGAACCTATTTAACTGACCAATATGCTTATTTAAACCTACTTTGACACTTATATTCATTTACTCCTCTTTTGAACCTTTAATTCTATAAATTTTACGTTACTCCTATTTTGAACCTACAAACACTCTCGATATTTTGGTGATTGAAGTAGATTCTTTTTACATAGGAAAAAAACATTTTTTAACATAAATTGAACCTACTTTACTATCGTAACTCCTATATATAGTAGAATGAGAGGTTCATCAGAGAGTCAAAATTTCGACTCGGGATATCAGTCGATAAACGAAAGAAATGCTGCACGTAAAAACGCAACTTTATATCTATCCCATCTTGTTCAGCAAGCAATCACCGGGCAAGCAAAACACACGCGTCGTATCGCTCAAAATTTTCCCTTTCACTATTGGTGTCGCCGATGAAAGCTTACACGTTGAAAGGTGAGCAATATCTCGAAACGCTAGCAGTAATTAAGTTTCGATTCGTCGGATTAGCGGAGACTCAAGATTAACGATTCCATTTCGCGCGCGCACGAGAAAATAAAGTCATTGGTGAAACGCTTGCTTTCGTTGTTTTTCGTTGCAACAATAACAAATGTGTTTACGCGCATGTTGCTGTTTTTTAAATACATAGCAGCTAACGCTGCCGAGAAAATATCTACTTAGATCGGAGAAAAACGCTCGCGTATTATTTATAGTAGTCATGTTTTGTAATTATTAGGGATTATACAGTTCTCCTAACGAAGGGAAAAAGTACTGCGCGTATTTTTTTATTCTAATTACACGGTATTATAGTCCATTATATTAACCACGCTGCTATTTGCATTTTTAACGTGTCTCAGCTTCTCATTACGATGCAATCGGTTTATTAAAGACTTTCTGTTCTAGCAGTAAGAACGTTGATTGAAAAAAAAAAAAAAAAAAAAAAAATGTGTTTCCAATTGTTATATACATAATAAGATCGTTAACAAGAGAATTAAAGACTGTGCGTAGTGAAGGTATCTTGCTCATAATCGATGAGAATAAACCAAGTTTGCGGAATAAATTTAATTAAAACACTCAGAGAGATCCGCGAGACTCGCGGAAATACCGCGGGGGGATAAGAGAAGGAGAAAAGTTTATGAAATCCCCGAATATACTGCATGAGAGAGCGCGGAACTGCTACATATATATCGCCGGCTGGAAAGCGGGCGATATCGCGATATATCGTCGCAATTAAGTTCTGAATCGGCGGATTATCGTCGGATATAGAGGGGCTTTCAAGCCTCTCCGGAGACGTCGAGCAAGGTCTCTCTTCTCTCTCCTCGTGTCGAGGAGGAGGCACACGAGACCCCCGGAAGACTGCCATAGCCTTTTTTGCTCCCTGCTTCGTTTATCCTCCGCCTTCATCCTCCTTAACGATCTTCTTAACAAATTTAATTAAGCCCCGAGCCAAGCGAGCGCGAAAGCGCAGTTTCTTCTTCGGTCTCGGTCTCGGACTTAACCCTTCGCGAAATTAGATTCGCGCGGTTTTCTCGACGGGATTCATGCGAGTAACCGGCGGAATATCGCGCACACACCTGCACGCGGCTAATGCACTCTCCCGCGGGAGTGGAAGATATTTTAATACTGGCACAACCGGAGATCCTCGCGTAACGTTCTCTATCCTAAGGTTAAGATGGTACGGGAGGAGAATGAGAGAGTCGTAAAAGAGGTGGGCGGGTTGCGCGAGAGGATTGAGATTGATGAAAATTTCGTGATTGGAGTGCGCAAGGCGCTGTTGAATACGCCGTGAAGCACTTTCGACGTAACGGTTACCGTAACGACACGCGGCCAGAGAATGTAGCAGGCAAATCGATTATTACTAACTCGTACACTCGCGCTTTCGGGGGAGAAAATAATATTCCGCAATCCGCGCTCGCATAATCTTACATAATCGTAACATAGTTGTAACGAGAGTCAAGACGCGCTAACGTGTGTTTTACTCGAGGAATGACGAAAGAGGAGCAAAGCGGGGGAGAGTGATAATGATGAATCATAGTAGAATACAAGAGAGAAAGAGAAAGAGTAAGAGCGCGGGAATATTAATCGTTGGAAAATTAATAATCTGTGGAGCAAAGTCGTAACTTGGTTGCGACTCGGTTCTTTGTGCATAATTAGAAGCGGCCGCGCAGCTCTCATCAGCGGTTTGTTATCAAGAGACGTGATGATGGCTACCACGCCGAGAGAGTTCTATCGCTGTCAGTCTGTTTTTCTCATTATAACTCGTGAAACTAGTTTATAGGCCTCCGGACCGTTATTCTCTATCTCTATCACGTGTACGTACACATGTTTCACACATGCACCTATATAACCGTGTTCGTCGACCACAGCAGTCTTGACGCTCGTCGTCATAATAATATAGATATCGATCATGAAAGTCGTATATTCTGCGAATATTCAATTTGAATTTCAATTTCTGCCTCCAGTAGGTATGAACCGGCATGTGAAACGTTGTTACATATAATGTAATAGTGTCCAATGTGTGTTCTCTGAGGCTTGCCAATCTAGCGACATAAAAATGTACTACGCGTTGCCCTCCCGCGGAGAATAATATACTTTGAAATACATTCTTTCCTGCTTATTTTTTCTCGATCGCCAAACGCGAAATTTGGCCGAACAAGAAATTTTCTCTTTCATGTTTCCGATATTCACGCATTAGTGTGTCTATACACTGTATGTTTAATTGCGCGCGTGAATTGTTATACAAGATTCACTTTCTTTCTCTTATGAATTATTAATTATCTTTTTAGAGGTAATTTTTTATGTTGAAAATTTATTTGTTCACGGATAAACAAGGCCGTGAAGAACATCACACTTGGCTCTTTGTTCGCGCTTAAAAACTCCTCTCCGTATCTTGTTTTTCACTCGGAAGAAAAATTCTGTCATTCGGACGATCCGTGACGTTCATTACCGCGTAAAATCCGATCGAGTGACTCCGTTTCACGCGTCAGACAGTTTTGACCGATCGCGTGAAATCCTGACCAATGTGCAAAAACGAACGCAACGTGGCGCAAGCGGCTTTCCAACCTCTTGCTGAAACATCGCTGGTATTGATGTGCAATAAAACCGTGTGCGTTTTAGGAAAAAAAAGAGAATCAACTTCGTCATCGCGCGATGGGTAGCATAACAATTTCATTTCACGAAAACATCGATGGAAAGGACATTACGCGTTTTTGTTCCAGCGGTCGTTCGACTCGCTTGTAAAACCATCGCGTTGAGTCGTCAAACCAATTAAACCAAAAAAAAAAGAAACACGTTGTTAATCTTTCGACAAAATAACAAAGTTGTTGTATGCGTCGCGAAAACCGTTTGTCAACCTCGTTCGCGAAGTTCTTACTACGGAAACAAACAGCGTATTTTACGATGAAAACTCTCACGATCCGTCGAGGTCGGTCGGTTAGGATATGACAGAGACAAGTTAGATTAACCACTCGGCGATTGTGGCGCAATCGCCACCGGCCGAAATGTGATAGTTCGCTATATCGAAATTCGCTCCACAATTGAATTTGGCGACTGGTTTGGTTGTATCTCGCTTGTAGCGAATCAATTAATATTTAGTTTTTCTCTCTTTTAGCACACGTCCTATTTTGTGTCTCTGTATGTAAGATTTCTCCATCTATCTTTTCCACGTACGTATAAAGATTTTTACACGTCGGAATAAGATATACACTGCGAGAAAAATCTTATTGTTAGTGTTTTCAATAACGTAACCGTTTTAACGCAAAAAATTACACGTTATCAATATCTTAGTAAAAATATTATTCTGTTACGTTTAAGTCACATGACCTTTTACGTTGCCTTTTTATCGATCTTTTAACTGATATTCAACGTTTTTACAGATCATTGCTTCTGTTCTGTTCTTTTTTTGTTCTTATCCTGTTTTAGAATGCGACATATTTCTTATTTGCTTTTTCTTAAGAACAACGTTTTTAATATGAATATATATCTTCTTTTTCGCATTTTAAACAACCGCCAAGACTTGCAGAGCAAGTGACGTCGGTTAAAAGAAAGAACTAATGTTGGCCAAATGTCACTCTATATTTACTTTGCACAAAAGATGTGTAAACATATATATATATATAAACGATACGCAATATAAAAACCAGAAAATCGTATCTAAAAAATTAGAATGTTCAATATAAATCGAGTTCAATGACAAAAATAAAAAGCAGAAAAAAATTAGAACAAGAAATGTACAACATTACAAATTTATATATCCATTTACGCAATTCATGTCGAATATGCAGCGCACGCCGCAAAATTTGCTACATCGTGATGATTAGGATCTTTTCCTGGATGCAATATAGTTTGCGGTGCGGTTGGAATCCTGCCATCTCTTTCGTCGAGGAAATAAGAATCCCCGTTGAAGTAATAAGAACCGCGGACATGCGCGCGAGTGTTACATCTGAGAGCGGTGAATCTTTTTTTTTTTTTTTTTTCTTCTTTTCCGTATCGCCCCCGCGGGAGAATATTTTAGCGCGCGCGCACACACACACACACACACACGAAACCTCGAGTTTTTTTTCGGCGTGTCACAGAGCGTGTGTCTAATTTCTCCGCGAGGACACGGTGGAGAGAAGAGAGAGACAGACAGAGAGGGAAAGAAAGTAAGAAAGAAAAGTCTTGACAGGCGTATTGCAGCACGTGCGACCCGTTAACGACAAACGACCGGTGCAACCAAACAACACAGAAAGCCTATTAATAGAAGTAAGCGCCTAAGAAGCAAACAAACCTTCAATCTGCCGGCTTCGAGTTTGATCAGGCAGTAATCCGTCTTGCCGGCAGCCAATAGCAGCATAGCGTCAGCGAGATGAGTTCGGAACCGGAAACTGATGTCAGTAGCATCCTTGGCCTCTTGAACCGGAAGATGGATGTAGCTTGCCCCGTAAAACGACACTGCAAGTTTAACAAATTTAATGCGTTTAAGTGAGGTACAACCTAGGAAGACCGATGGTACGTGTTATTTTATGTATATATATATATATGTATATATATATATATATATATATATATATATATTTTACACGCCGGACAATTTGCTGAAGAGAGAGATGAAAAAAAGAAGAGATGAAGATAAAGAGAAAGAGAGAGAGAGAGAAAGATAAAAAGTGAGGGGAAAAAAATGCGCTATTAACGTTGCAATCTTTCATTTTAATTTACATAATGTTGTAATGTTCTCTCCATCGTACCAACCCTTCATGGAAATCTGGAAATTGCAGACAGTCTCGTTGTAACCAACGAGACGAAAGCGGGATCGCTATTATAACCAAGATTTGCTCTTTGCATCACGCTGACTAATATAGTAATAATTAAAATATGAGTTTTTGCTAACAGAAACAAAGAAGAAAAAAAAATGTTGAGCATAACGTTCGCGAACGTTCTATTTTTGCGTAGAGTAAAAAGCGCGGGTGAAAATACGTTGCAGTCTCGCGCGCAAGACCTCATTTTTCTTCGCTGCCGAGGAAGAGAAATTAAGTGTCACTCGAAAAGTTTTATTTCGTTCATCTGTTTCTCCGATAACTTTTGAATTGCGCGAACTGAAGTGGCTTTCTTCAAGAAATTTGATATATTCATCACACTGCACCTGTAAACAGCGGTAAATAAGTTGTAAAGAGTACGAAGAGATATAGACAAGAAAAAAACTGACGATTTTGCAAATTTTTTATAAAGTTCTTGTGTCGGCTACCTAATTACATTTATTATTAAAGATAAATACCTGCTATAAATTTTCACGGCTATATTGATATTTGTAATAGTGAGAAAAGGATGCTAACAATAAGTATGATAAAAACATGAAGTATAGTATAAAAGAAGTGCACCGAAAAAATTGTATTCTTGTTTTGAGAATATTCCACTTACTTTAAGTATATTTTATACTAAAATAGGCGCCAAGAAGAGTTTCTTATTTTAAGAGAAAAATCCTCTAAATAGTAATATCGATAAGAATATATACTGATTAGAATATAAAAAGCCTCTATAGAAAAACATATATATCTCACTATCGAAAAAGACTATATTCTTAACTTAAGAATATATATTCTTAAATAAAGAATATATTCTTAATTTCAGAAGAATATCATCTAAAATCTTTAAGAAGATTTTTTAAGTATAAAATCTTCTACTTATAAGAATATAATTTTTTCGGTGTGTGAACGTAGTTTTATATAAAGTTTTATTATTCATAATGCTTTTTTTTATTAATAGAAAGAGAAAAAGAGAATAAATTATTTATAATGCTAACAAATTACGTATTTACGTGCTTAAAATTATTCTGTTTTCTTGCATCAGTTGTCGGTTGCATCACCGAAAAAATTGTATTCTTGTTTTGAGGATATCCCACTTACTTTAAGTATATTTTATACTAAAATAGGCGCCAAGAAGAGTTTCTTATTTTAAGAGGAAAATCCTCTAAATAGTAATATTGATAAGAATATATACTGATTAGAATATAAAAAGCCTCTATAGAAAAACATATATATCTCACTATCGAAAAAGACTATATTCTTAAATTAAGAATATTTTCTTAAATAAAAAATATATTCTTAATTTCAGAAGAATATCATCTAAAATCTTTAAGAAGATTTTTTAAGTATAAAATCTTCTACTTACGAGAATATAATTTTTTCGGTGATCATCTGCCGAAATACGTGTCATCGTGTTTGAAACAAAAGAACGGCATGTTTTCAAATAAACACACACACTCTTAAGTCAAAGTCCTTTTTTATTTATTGATACTTTTAATAATTATTCGACGGTGAGAGATGAAAAATATCACATCAAATTGACATATTTAACATATGGATATATAGTTCCGATGTGAAAATATATAGATACTTTTAACGATGTAAAAGTGTAGTGTGATTATAGGGATATGCGTGCGATTATTAATCGCATTGCTCGTCGAAAATTTATCCGCGGATTCTAAGTTTTCAAAGTCTATTATCAGTAAGTACTCGCTCGAGCCACTTCATTAACAAAAGCGGCAGTAGCGGACCTGGCGGCAGGTTGATGAATGGATCGTCAAAGTTCTCCGGGTCTCTCTGGGCGTTTACCACGAACTTACACCATTGTTTTATAGCCGTACAAATATCGCTTTGGAGTCCGAATAAAAAGTGATAAATAGCGAATCTGTGGTTGAGTCTCGCAAACTTCTCTTCATAGACCTCCCTAGAGGAGGCGCTTCGAAGGAGGACTATTGCGACTCGTAAAATATTCTCGATTAACGGGAACACGTTTCCTGAAACTATCACGGATTGTAAAATGAATGTGTCGACGCTTCGATTGAGCCGATGAATGATCGCTTTCAAAACGCCTCAAACGAGCACTGAGAGAAAGAGAGAGAGAGATCGTATCTCGCAACGCGTGCGTTTATATAGAGACATGTATAAAGGAACGAACCAAGTTACCACAAGGTTTATTTCTCACCCCTCCGTAAATGATCTAAGAACGCGTTCAAGTACGTGGAATAACTGCACGGGCCATTAAGTACGAAGAATCTTTCTCTATCTCTCTCTCTCTCTCTCTCTCTCACTCATTCACTCACCCACTCTCTACTATCTTCTTCTCGGTTAACCGGCGCATAGGAACATTAACGTTGAATCGATCGTACGTATTGCTCCGGGTGTTTTGCAGTTCAATGCACTTGAGGCTTACTCAATTCGCGTTATCCACGCGAATCGCAATATTTGCGTGCATACAAAGGAAGTGCAGCTCGAAGCAGAAACGCTGATGCTTGACAACATCCTCGTTTCTCTCGTGCAAGTCTTCCGTATAAATAAAGCGTCTCTCGTCCATTGTGTGTTGTGGAGCGCACAAGCTAATTTGCGGAAACTCAAAAATAAGCAATAAATGAACAAAGTATTTTTATGAAAAAATTAATGTAACTTTTTTTAAAAAGTTCAATCCTAAAAAATTCAGTGAAATAATAGTCTAACTTTTCGAACAAATATGCACGAACTCTTCGCCGACTTTAAAAATTATAGTTCACATGGACATAATTAAAGTTTGCAATTGATAAAAACACTTCAAACATTTATAACCGAACAATCAAAAGTTATAACATATAAAATTATGAAAATATGTTCTAGCAAGGCGCTTAATGGCGCAATAATAAAATACACAAGTTCGGAACGCAAAGTTTTTAACTTTGAAAATAATTGCCTGTGTTATCTTCTCATTTGCAAATCTGATCATGTGCAACACACTTCAGATATATGATTATCGTTTCTATCCGTACTATAGATTGTTATTCCAATCGTACGCCCACGTATCGATCCATTCGCTAACGGTAATTACGATTCTCAGCGGCTGTGGTATACGCGGATATCGAAAATGTGCATTCAGTTGTTATTCGATAGGTTATTTGTTTTATAAAATTACTAAAAACCTGGAATCTGCTTTCGCGGTACAAAGCGTTGTTGCAAACACACATCTATATAAGGGATAGGTTTAATCACGCGAATATGTTCGTTTTGGCGAATTTTATAACATACCATTGTCACAAAGAGAAATTGTACTCATTATGAAGGAAGATTAAACAATAAAGTAAAATAATTAACATGGATGTACACAGAATGTGTCTATTACATTACATTTTGTCAACGATTTATCTTCGGTCGCCGCGCGATATCGAGATGTCACTCAACATATTTATATATAAACGACAAAGTAATAAAAATAAATAATATATTATGCTCGGAAAACACAAGTGAATTTTTGTTGTTGCGTTCATCGAAATATATATATATATTTTTTTTTCAGACCGTTACTAAGCGACGTAACTAATATATATTGGTCGATCCGCAAACGGAGTAATGCATCCAACCGTGCCATTAATAGACTAACTAAGTGCGTCGGTTCTCTCTCCTACAATTTCTCGGATATATTTCAAATCGAATTTTCCGCGTTTTCCCGTTGATTATATATATGTATATATATCCGCCGGTTGTATATCGAATTTCACTAAACACTCCGACTGACCTGCATTCGATATGAAGCGGAATAAACGCGCGCGAGGAAAGGGAACTAGAACGCGCGCGGGCTATACACGCGGGTTATGAGATACGAGCACTTAGAGCCCCGTTTTACCGCACTCGTAATTCTATTTTTCTTTGCGAGTCGTGGAGATTCCTTTCGCGGTTACATTCGTAAGCGTAATTGGCCGACGGGCGTCCGTGAAAAAGTATACGGTGCATTACTCGCGCAGCGATGGCGGTTGATGCGGCAATGCGAACGGCAAATGGAAATGATCTCGTAAGGTTTCATGGAAATTGCCGAGTGTTCTGTTTCCTGGCAATTCTTTCGACGGATATATCGAGTGTTTCGCGCATAATAATAAAAATAAACAATTCACGCGACCCAATTGCACGCGGCCGATCTTAATTACAGCTAATATTCAAACACATTTGACTTGCACAAAGTCACGAGAACGCGGCGTTTGACACGATCGTGTGTACAGTGATTAAGTGCTCGAGAAAACCGATTGCGCTAATCTAGGTTAAATTGTATTTAACGATTTATATTTAAACCAAAGTAAAAGCTGGCCGCGATTAAGTCCGGTGAAAAGCGATGGGGTCTTTTTTTCTCGAGAAAGAAAAGCGTCGAAGAAGATTTCCAAATAAACCGTGTGGTTTCAATGTTGTTTGTATATAAATTTCCGGCAATATTTTGTAATCGCTGTATCATCGTATGCGTATACTTCGCCGCAATTATGCTTACAGACATTTATGGAAATTTCTTTTACCGTGTTGCAAAAACATTTTTATCATGTTATAGTACTCGACTGCATTTTCACAGAATGTAAACCGCATAACTGGCACGCAAAAATACGCGGTCGATGTAACGCGGCCGCATAGCAGCAGTATTTTTTCTCTTTTACCCTTTCCTCTTCTTCATTTTCTCTCTCTCTCTCGCTCTCTCTCTCTCTCCCCTTTCTCTTTCTCGATGCGCATGTTTTTCGCGAAAATATGTATCCAGTCTGGACCAGAACATGTAAAAACAAATGCACAATATCGCAACGCAACGCGACAGTCTCGCACGCGTCGCGCAGATTAAACCGACAAACGGGAAACTGATTAGAGCGGCAAGGTATCTCATTTTATTTTGACGGTATTTCAGAGGTAATGTTTTGCGAGAAATGTAATTTTACGTTGGATCAGTTGTGAATAATTTAAAACGAACCGCTCGTCATCCGCGCCGTTTGCATTCCTTGGCTATTAATTTACATCATAGGCGCCTCCCGTTCAGTACATCTTTCGCGGATTATTATGGCCGGTAATTCTATGTACGTATATTTGTATAAATCGAGTCGAACGGATTTAAACGTTTTCGTATATATATCTATAAGCAGCGACAGCTGATACAAATTTGGAATAGAGAGTTCACAATAGGTATGTATCAACATGCGAATGAACATGTCGCGTGCGCAGATTTATTGGCACACAAAAATACACGACATATTGATTGTTGCAAACTGTTCAGCCAAACTATGTTTTCTTTTTTTTTTTTTTTTTTTTAACGAAAAATCTCCGGAAGGGAGAAAGCATGAACAAATTTTCCGTTTGAACGTATATCATATGCGCGATTTGACCGATTGTTGAACTCGCGCAAAGATCGATTTGGCGAATATAAGGCCATCGCGCGCGCCGAAAAAGATGACTCCGTAAAAACGCGGCGCACACGGATTACACGATTCGATTATCCGGTTTATTCAGATGAAATGCCAAGCCGCACATACATCGAGTATTGTACACCGATAACGGACACCGCCGGTAATTCGAACACGAGTACACTTCAATATGTATTGCAACAGCGTATGATTTATAATAGTAGCAAGTTATTATTTTAGCGTGATTTCCGCATTTGATTATTACAAATTGAGTAGATTTAATTAGCGACTCTGAAAAAAACAAAATTTAATCTTCTGACCTGCAATTATGCGACGTACTATATAACACGACTTGTTAAAAATGTTATTTGTTTTTTATTTATTGACTTTGTAATAATATTTTACCATAGAGCTTTTTATAAAAAAACCAATAAAGTGCATTGTATATTATTCGTGTGTGATTTACCTGAGAATAATAATAATATTCTTTTTGTGTGATGTTATTAAATTTTTTGCAACATGTGCAAATAATGTCAAAGAAATTTGGAACACGTAATTCGCGTAAAATTATAGAATAATATTCTCTCTCTTTATCCTACCTAATCAAGATACATGTATATTGGTAAAACTTGAGTTGATTGTGTATGCATAATCGCATATATACGTATATATGTATAATCACTTAGTTCTAACGCAAAATATCTCGCGTGTTTAACGAAGGACATAATGCAAATATTTAATAGCATGCTCGAAACTTCAAGATAACATAGCACCAGAAACAGCTTATTCAAGTTAATCTCAAAATAACTAAAACATCAAGAACGTTAATTTTGATGTTACTGAAATATCGCGAAGCAAGCGTATTTCGCTCTCATATTTATTTTTTGTAGAAGAAAAAACTTTTTTGCGCAATGTGTGTATGAAAAATGTAATGAAATAATTATATAAGTAATTTAAAGAAATTATTCCGCCAAAAAAAAATTTTTTCCGCTCTTATACTAACAATTATTCCAAATATATCCATGTTTACAACCGCACGTTTGCTCGTTCTCTTTTTTTTAGATATCATTGCGATTTTTTACTGAACAAGTTGCTTCTTTTGCTCTATAAATCTCACGAATGGTGACTTTTGGTTACCCAGTGTGAGACTATTCGCGGATTACGGGGTTAAAGTGGCTGAAGTACTCTTGCGTGCATTTCTCCCGATATAATCGCTCGTGCGGGGTATGTTTACGTAGAGAACGCCGGGTGTGCGGCTCCTCCACAGTCTCGCGCACTATCAAAAGCGCTCGGCGATGTGTGCGCGCGCAGGCGACCATTAAACCCGCGCTCTCGCTATAAGTAAATTCGCGGGAACTACTCATGCCAGCAGCCATAAAAGTTAATCTTCACCGCTCGTTCTCGCGCGGTTGTTCTTCCGCGCATCCCTTTTGCATCGGCCGATTCGGCCGATGCAAGGAGCGAAATCCGTATTTCTTTTGGTTCTGCTTTCACGGATCCGAGGGCAAATAACAGGAGAAAGAGTGCGACAAAAGAAAAAGAGAGAGAGAGAGAGAGAGAAAGAGAGAAAGTGATGAAAGAAAAGGGAGTGAAACAAAAGAGCTATAAGCAAAGAGAGAAATCACTGTGTCTTACCTTTTTCGTCTGTTTGGCAGTAACCCAACAGAGAGACCGTTACTGCTAAGAACATTAGCAGTCCCATGTCGGTGAGGAACGCCGGCCTTTTCCTGTGCATCTTCTTTTATTCAGCCAACCCCGTTTCCTGTCTACCTCCGCCCGCAGACTCCCCGCAGACTGGCGCGCGCACTCTTCCACTTTCGCGGCAGCGAAACGGGGTAACACACACCGATCTGACGAACGACTTCACGGACCGGCTCTTAAGGGATATCGATTTCACGTGACGGGGGTTACAAAACGCTATTTACGGGGTAGAGCGGGCTAAGATTCGAACGTACTTTTCCCATCCATTTCTTGCTCGTATGTCTTCCCCGTCACGCACATCGCAAGGATCTTTCTCTCTTCTTCCGCGAGAAACGTTTGATGTCTACGAATCACAGCGACACGGGAGAGGGGATTAGTAGTCGAATTGAGACGCTTTCTCTTCTTGCAGACGCGTGCTTATCGATTGTAGCACGCGGTGCATCCGTGGGGACGCTAACGGCTGATTTAGTGGAAAAGTGTGAAACCGGTGAACGCTCCCACGAACGTGGTCGTCGGTTCTTGGGTGACGTGTCTCCCAGGATGCGAAGCGGACGGTGCGAAAGCTGGCATCTCGTATTGCACGTATTCCCTTCGGTCGCCGATTCGGTCGATTCTGAAAGAACACAGCGAATGCACACAGCTATAAAACGACGACGCGCAGACTTTCGCGTGTGAAACAGTGTTTTTCCGTAACGCCGGCATACCGGGGCTTTCAGGCTTTCGACACGTACGCGTTTGCAGAAAGCTCCGCGTATACGCGAAAACTTGTGTCAGAGCGTACGTTGAATATCGCGGAGCAGGTGCGCGATGTGTGTCCGATAACTTTTGCGCGTCGAAAGAAAAAATATTTGAGAAATAGTATCGATATAATCGAGAAATATTACAACGCGTTAATAGAAATTTTGTCAGTGACAATTAACATATATTCTATAAAGCGCTCTTTGGAAAATTAATATTGGCATTCAATTAACATTATCATTAATAAATTTTCAATATATACATGTATCCTGAACAATTAAACTACAAAACTTAATCTTCGCTAAAACTCGCGTGTCTGATGATTGTCAATGCACATGTGAAAGTTAAAAATTTATATAAAATCTTTCTCTCTCTCTCTCTCTCTCTCTATATATATATATATATATATA